GGTAATTTGTTGGATATAATCACGTATCCCAAAACCGGAGTTGGATTTAATTCGAATGTTGACCGTGTTGTTGTTAAATTGGGGTAGTCGAAATCGTGACATTGTTGAGTCTGATAGTATGACATGAGTTGGTTTAGTGGTTGGTGTTGTTGCCGTGTTCTGCTGTTGGTGCTGAAGAAATACCTACATTCCCGGTAGCAAAGCGGCCGCGTACAGGCACTCCGCTTCCAGCTTCACCACCACCATCACATCGTCATTTCGCCCCGTCCGTCGCATCATCACCGGCCATACTAAAGTTACCAGTACCACTAGTACCAACAAACCTATCGCCACCACGGGTACCAGCAAACATATCACCACCACCAGTGTCAACAAACGTATCACCACCACGCGGCATCACTGAATCGACTATCACACTAGCGCCCATTATAGCTCTGCCACCACGTACAACTGGCAATATCCAACCGGCAATCACAACTAACGCAATGACATCAGCTCCGAAACATCCAGCTAAGGCACCAGCACACCAGCAACAGGTACATACGACCACCAGTAAAACTCAAAAACCGCCAGCATGGATGCTACCTGCAAAAAATCACACATCATCACCAACAGTCGAACAAAAACCCACGGTTAACAAAGGCAAAAAAACCCGATTTCAAAACGGCACCACGTCCAATTTCAACTCGTACACAAACATCGGCAGCTACGTACCACCACCACCACCATCTGTCCCACTCCGACGATCCAAAGTGAGGTCACTAATGTCATCGATCGTGAAGATGCCACTTATGGATTTAGCACTAGGATGGGGAAGGCCGGATCAACAGACACGACAGGAACAAGGTAAGTACTTACCGACAAGTAACCGATTTGATCTGTTTTTAGATACCGACCAAGGCAACCACTACCCAATTCCGAACCAGACAGACACCCAGCAGCAGTACCCCAACCCGCAACGACGTCCGGCTCCGCAAATACAACCACGGCGCACAATTCCAAACCCCAGGCAAACCAAACCATACGCGCAACCAAACAACATCCAACAAAATGTCGCCCCGCCACGCACGAATCCAAGCAGACACGGCACCACGTCACGGCAGCACCAACAGCAGAACACGGCAACATGTAATTGTACATTTAAATTTAATTTTCGGTATTTTTTATTCTTTCACTCAATTATTTCTGTATGTTTTCAATCACATACAATAGGTTAATACTACTTTTTTGTGCTGTACGCAATTTTTATTGTGTACATTTGTTGTATTAAGAAATGAGAGTTCACTTTTCCCTGTAACTACAAAATTAGCTCTATTTCTTGCTTGTTGACACGAACTACTGTGTACAAACTAGTCGATTTTTTCATTATCAGTATGTGTTTCCTCCTCTCTTAGTTTAAAACAAACTATCAAAGATTTAGTTAAACTCTTTATCATCGGAATTTGTCATGTCAGTTTCTTTTAATATTGCTCTACTTTGAATAATTGTATCTTGTGGGAACTATGGTATATCATCCACACCAAAGTTCATCATCCACCATTTTGTGGTGTTTTCGCCCGCTGTGCTCTCGCGACGCGAATTAATTTTTTCAATCCTCGAGGATCCTCTTGCTCCGCCTACCTCTGGTAAGTAGTTTTTCACAATTGTGCAGTGACCCTGATGA